GATTTCTCTGGACCTTTCCCCATGTTCATTGCACACTGACCTTACTGGAAGGCCAGGATTGGGTTTCTACAGTGGGCTGGTTTGAATAGGGGACAGTGGGGGACCTGGGGTGCAGAAGGAGGTAACCCTCAGAGGTTGGGCATGGTGGCCATTGCACTGCCCCCTCGCGGACACTGGGGGCTGATGCAAGGCCCGACCCCTCCCAGTTTGGAAACGGGCTGGAAGGAGCTGCTGGAACACGGATCAGAAGCACTGAGTGGTCATGGAGAGTGACATCAGGCTGGCAGTGAGCCCGAAGCCACTGTTGCCGGCAGAGGGGGGGACACTGGGGATGACGTCACATGCAGCCAGACCCAGGTGGATAGACACAGCAAGGCTGGACGGCAGAGCCTGGTGATGCAGAGGCCTGGATGTGCAAGCAGCGGTGGCTGTGGTGCAGTGTCACTTTCTGGGGTGCCATTCTGGAAGAACTCGGGGAACAGCCCTGGACACGCAGTGCAGATGCTCCATCGGGCCTCCAGAATCTCATATCCTGACATTTGATTTTTTTTTGCTTAGCCTGGGAGACTTCAGGGTGGGCCATGGCAGGGCCACCCACAGGGAAGGGAGAGCTCCAGAGGGGCTTGAGACACAGGCTCCCTAAGGCGTCGGCCACACAGCCATGGGCCCTCCTTGGAGCACAGGTCCTGGGCCTGGCTGGGATCAGGCTCCTGAGAGAGGGCCATCTCAGCTGGAAAGCAGACAAGGGGACTCAGAAGAACCTCAGGGGCCCCGTGCGGTGGCTCACCTACCGTCTAGCACTTGAGGCCTGGGCTTCCGTAGGAGCTCAAGGCCAGTCCAGACTGCTCAGCAAAACCTTGTCTCAGAAAGACAAACAAGGGGCCGGTGAGACCACGGCGAAAGGTCTGGAGAAATCTGAAGTGTGCCAGTGCCCGTTCGCCCAAAAAGAAAGAAAGAAAGACAAGAAAAAGAAGGAAAAGGAGAAGGAGGGGAAGAACCATGGCTTCTTGGGGCCGAGAGCCCAAGCAGAAACGAACCCGATGCCCATTAGAACTCAGGTAGGTGACAGGAGTGCCTGCCCTGGAGGGCAGGACCTGCGCATCTGCCACCCCCACTGCATGGCACAGCTCACTGCCAGCCTCAGACGTCCAGGCGGATGTTCCAGCTCTTACTATAATCCAGGCACTTCCACACATGATTTTTTTTTTTTTTTTCAGGAACTGGGGATTGAACTCAGGTCCTTGCACTTGCCAGGCAAGTGCTTATTCTACTGAGCTATTTCCCTGCCCCCCCCAACACGATTTATTTAATTTTCCCAACAATTCTGCCAGGAGGTGATAAGGTGACCCTTGAGGGCAGATGAGGAGTGGACAGGACAGCAAGGCTAGCAGAGATGCAGGCCACGAAGACAGTGGGCAGATGGAGTGGTGCCCTCCAGCTCTTGCCCCAGCCTCTCTCTCTCTCTCTCTCTCTCTCTCTCTCTCTCTCTCTCTCTCTCTCTCTCTCTGTCTCTCTCCCGTCTCTCTCCCTCCCCCTCTCCCAGCATCTTGCGGTGTAATTCAGGCTGTCCTATCAGCCCTTAGCCCAAGGTGGCCTTGAATTCATGGTGAGCCTCATGCCTCAGCCTCCGGGTGCTGGGATTATGAGTATATTCTCCTGCTTTTGAAGCTATATGACCTGGATTGGATTAGGTCGAAGATGCAGGAAGGGCCTCAGGGTATCACGGCATGTGTGCACCCATGCAGATGCAGGCTGGTAAAGCAATGCCCCACGGGAAAGCCAGAAGCTGTCTCCACTAAAATATGGAAGCCCCAGGGCTTCAGCAGAGCTGTGCCTTAGCACATGCCGGGCCTGGGATCAGTCCCAGTCACTGAGAAAAAAATTAAAACCTGAAAGTCAGCCCTGCCCGCTAAAGGCTAAAGGGCCTGCGGAGGGGGCGGGGCACAGGCCCAGCACCCCCCTCTGGACACATGCGCATTGGTTCCTGGGCCTCCGCAGAAGCGGGAGTCGCTAACATGCCTTATTTTTTTCAGTGCGGGCGTGGGGAGGGGTGGGGGGATGGAACCCAGAGCCTTCCGTAAGCCAGGCGAGGGCTTCACTGCGGAGCCACGTCCCCAACTGCACACAGCAGCTGGGCGTTGCTGTCCATGACTGGCTGACTTCACCGCCTCCTGTAGACTCAGTTCAGCACTCGTGCTGGGGGCTCCCGGGAAGTGAGAGAAGCGTGGACACGCAGCCAGAGAGGGTTAACTCTGACCCCTTGGCCGCTGTCCTCCAAGACGCCGTTGTCACAACTTCCCTGCCAGCTGTCCTGAAATGAAACTGTTTTGGCCGCCCAGGTTTCCTCCATAAATCGGAGCAGCATCTGGTCTTCCAGGAGAGCCAGGAGCCACAGGTGCCCACCCCTGAGGGTCCAGTCTCTCCTGGCCTGGGTGACCAGCTGGCGCCAGCTCCCCGGGAGCACGTCTGTGTGCAAAGTCTAATTTTTATATACGCACCTGTTACTCAGTTCCCCAAATCAGGAAACCCAGAATGCCTGCTTAGAGGCCCCAGAGCAGAATCCAGAGCCTGAACCCCTTCCCTGGCTTCCTGAAGATGCTGAGCTGAGGGCTCTGCTGTCCAGCATAGCGAGCCAGGGCGGAGCACTTCTCTATTTGTTCACTTCTCTATTTGTCTTCTCCAGAATCCCGAATCAAACCTATGAAAGTCCTTTCACCATAAGTCTGGCATTGAAACTTACTTCCAGGTGTGGTGGCACAAGCCTGCAATTCCAACACTTTGGGAGGCTGAGGCAGGAGGATTGCCAGTAGAGCCCCATCTGGGCTACTTAGCAAGACTAAATAAATGAAGAGGCCAGACATGTAGCTCAGTTTGCAAGCCCTGGGCTCAACACACCAGGGCCCCACAAAACAAACAAAAATCTCACTTCCTTTGTGGGGAAAATGGGGCGAGACCTCTTATGATCTATTTATCCTTAGTGTTAGTATGTGCATATTTTGCTGCAGAAAATGCAACCGGTGGGTGTGATTATGAGGTGCTCCTGGTGCAAAACAGCCTGCAGCCGGTGGTGTGTGCAACCCAGTCTTCCTAAAATCCCAAACAGCTTCCGGTCTGGCCCCAGGGCTTACAGTACAGGTCTGTGCCTTAACCATTTCGTGATGACCGGAACTCCAGCAGGAAGGGTCATCTGCTTTGCTTAGAGCCCTAAGAAAGCCTCCCCGCACTCGGGTCAGACTTGGGCGCTGGAATGCCATGGCCAGGGTGTGCGTTCTCCGTTGTCCTCTGGAAGCCATGCAGGGAACCCACAGTTCCTTGTGTGACCTGCGCAGTTGGGTCCATTAGAGCTCCGGTGAGCCACGTGCCGATGGGCTGGACGAAGGCAGGACTGAGACCGCCCGAAGCGCGGCCCCTGGGTGCGCAGGGAGCCTGGACGCCTGGGGAGGAGGCCGCGAGGGGGCCAGGCCAGGCCGGGAGGGAGGCGGCGCCCCCTCCCAACGAGACCAGGAGGCCGCACAAGCCCTGTCCTTGGCGGTGGGCCCCCGAGCGCTCCGGATGCCGACCGGAGGACGCCCTGCCCCTGCATTTTCCGCGTCCTCGTCGCCAGCAGTTATTATGGGCCCCAATCTGGTGGCAGAGATGGCACCGACTGGCGGGCGCCGCCACGAGGGCCGAGGACGGCTTTGACTTCGCCGGGATGGAGCCCGCGTGCTTCCACTTTCAGGTGCTCCTGGTTATGCACCAAAGAAGGAAGGACCAGAGAGGGTGGGACACTTTAGCCGGATTTGGAAGGTGCGGGCGGGCCGGGCCGGAGCGCCGCCTGCCGGGCGTGGCTGGGCTCGCTCCGTGCAGACCGTGAGCGGCGGCGGGGCGCTCGGGTCTCACTGCGCCCCCTGGCGGCGTCGGCGGAAACGGCGGCAGAGCGAGGAGCCAAGCCCGGGCCGGGCCGCCAAGGGTTAAGCTGTTAAACAGGTGTCAAAGGCGCCCCATATATCTGCAGATGGAAATCAAATTCTTTGCCGTATAAAAAGATAAATTACCCAGGCGCTGCCGCGCGGCCCACTCATCACGCCAGCGCCAGACGGCAAGCAATTTTTTTTTTTAATGTGCTAACGACCTAATCAAGCAATCAAGCTGGAGAAGATTGCGGAGTGACCCGGGCGGCATCTGCCGCGAGCCCGCGCAGGGAGGCGGGGAGGGAGCCGCGGGAAGGGGGTTCCAACCACGTGAGCACCCGGTTCTCCCGTCTAATTAGTTAAATGAGAAGCGCGGGGGTCCCTGGAGAGGGGGCGTCTCGCGGCCTCCCCAGCATTAATTAGCGAGGGTCGAAGCTGCGCTCCCGGGAGAGCGGCCGCTTTAATTTCCCGTGATATTTCAGTGCCTGAGGCCCATCGATTCAAAGTGAAATTAACTTATTTTTCAATCAGCCCAGGGCTGCCCCTGGGGGTGACTCTTCTTTTGCCGCCTCCTGAATAGAGCCGGAGCAATTTTTCATCCGAAGCTGCTACCTCGGGGAGGAGCCCAGCGGGAGGTGGGGGATGGAAATCGCCGGAGACAAGGATTTTCTGGCCGCTGCCCCCGCCCCTCCTGCCCCCAGGGTGCTCTGGGTCTTGTCACCCCAGGGGGCCCAGCCCCAAGGGACAAGAGGCCAGAAGCCTGCAGCGGATGCACGGGTGGTAGGGGCCTGAGTCCCCCTCGAGCGAGGGCGGGGACACTCCTAGCTGTCAGCTCCTCAAGCCTCAAGAAAGCTTTTCCGGGGACCAGGACCCCCTGAGCCCCCAGAACAGGGCTAGGATTCTGTGATCTCCCCAGAGCTGCAGGCACAGCCCCTCTCCCTAGAGCTGCTTTGCCTGAAAACAAAAAAGATACCCATCTCACCCTTCCAGTTCTCTCTTGTTCTGCCAAGCCCGGAGGATGAGGTCAAGGACACCTGCTGAGAACACCTTCGTGCCTTGGGCCTGGTGCCTACAGCACATCCTTGACCCACCCTCCTGCCCTGGCAGGTCTGGTTCCAGAACCGCAGAGCCAAGTGGCGCAAGCGAGAGAAGTGCTGGGGCCGGAGCAGCGTAATGGCGGAGTACGGGCTCTATGGGGCCATGGTGCGCCACTCCATCCCCCTGCCCGAGTCCATCCTCAAGTCTGCCAAGGACGGCATCATGGACTCCTGTGCCCCATGGCTGCTGGGTAAGAGCCACATCCTCCTCGGGTGGGCTTCTGGGAGTGGGGCCCGCCCACAACAGCCTGAGGGGAAACAGCCCCCCGGGAAGGCTTCCCAGTGTACCCTGGGGGGCTCAGGCAGGGAGGGCAGCCTGATTTCTGTCCTTACACCTCCCTGCTGGGTGCCGAGGTCTGTCACCAGGGATGGGCCTTTCATCTTGTGAGGGAGGGTGTGGCTGTTTCCCCAGGGTCTACATTCACCTTCCTTGGGTCAGACTGGGTATGTAGTGATTGACTCAGCCCCCAGCTTCCTCCTTCCACCACTTTGGCTGTGGAGGGACTTCTTGCCCTCAGGTCCCTCCACCCACACCACCCCCATCTGTGTGAGTCCTTATCTCATAACAGCATCCACTTATCTTGGGGTACTGAGATCTGGCGGAACCAGGGATTGAACTCAGGCCCTTGTCCTTGCCAAGGAAGCCCTTATCCTACTGAGCCATCTCCCCTGAGATCTGGAATCCCAGGACAGAGTTGTGTGGTTGAGTGTGGAAGGGACAGACTGTAGCCCGCCCCACGCCCCAGGTTGTGAAGCCCCCTGCAGGACTTGGCTCCCAGCAGCTGGCCTGCACCCCTGCCCCTTGGCCCTTCCCTGGTCCCTGGCCCCAGCCCAGCCCTGGGACTCGCGGTGCTGCGTTGTGTGAAGTAAGGCTTCTGCTCGTCCTTAATTCTGGCCTCTCTCTATCTTTGCCGTTTCCAGTTCAAGATGGCTTTCCCAGGCGCTTTTCTAAACCCGAATACCAACACTTCTTTCTAGGGATGCACAAAAAGTCACTGGAGGCGGCGGCTGAGTCGGGGAGGAAGCCCGAGGTGGAGCGCCAGGCCCTGCCCAAGCGCGACAAGGTGGAGCAGGAGGAGCGCGGTCCCGACGCTCAGGCCGCCCTGGCCCTGTCCCAGGAGGAACTGAGGGAGAACAGCATCGCGGCTCTCCGAGCCAAGGCTCAGGAGCACAGCACCAAAGTGCTGGGGACTGCGTCTGGGCCTGACAGCCTGGCCCGGAACCCCGAGAAGCTGGAGGAGACCGAGGCTATGGACGAGGACAGGCCTGCCGGGAAGCCGAGTCCCCCGCAGCTTGAAGACAGGGCTTAAGCCCCGGGTTCCAGCACCAAGCTCAAGACTGAGCCTCTGGGAGGGAGGTTCTCTCTGAGGTGGGCCCGCCTCGGCTGCCCTCCCTCTGCCCACGGCCTCCAGGGCCGCGTGGACCCCAGGCACAGGTCAGTTCTGGCCGTGACTTTGGACCCTGCCGAGACGTCCCGGCCCTGCCCTCGCTCTGCAGCATCCTCCTCCTCCCAGCCTCCCTGCCTCGAAGCCAGCTTGCTGTCCAGCTGTGTCCCGTGAGCCCCTGCAGTCAATCCCTTGGCAACTCTCGCTGTCTTCCCCTTCCTCTCTGTCCCCTGCTCTGAAGAGGCCTCCTTCCTAGCTCTGGCCATCCCTGGGACTCTGCTCGGCAGTGCCTGAGGCTCCTTGCTGCAAGCCCATTGCAGGCCACAGCCGTGACCCAGACGGAGGACCTGCGCTCCAGCTCGGGTCCTGGGCTCCCATTCTCAGCAAGCCTTCTCCCTTCAGGCCTGTTTTCCACTGCGGGCCTGCGCTGGGCTCCACGCTGAGCATGCTGTTCTGCAGGCCCACACGCAGCCTCAGCCTCCTGGCCCCGCCTCCCCACTGGCATGTGAAGTCTCAGCCACCTCTGGTCCGTGCCCTGCCGTGGCCACCTTCAGGAACCTGCCCTCTCCATGGCTCCTCCCCAGCACAGTGGGCCCGGGACCTGTGTCCAAGGGCGGACACACAGCACACCTTGCTGTGGCTGTGGGGACCCCTGGGCCTGTGTCTGAAACCTTCCAACTCTGCAGATGCTGCGAGCTGACTTGTGTGCAAGCAATCCCTGCAGCCCCAGCTCCTGTAAACTCCTGGTGTGCAGGGACCCTGCTTAGATGACCCTAGTGTAGTGAGGAGGCCGCAAGGGTGGGTCCCAGCTTACCCCGCTCTAAGGGTCCAAGCCGGGAGTAGGCTGGGCCATTAATACTCATCAAGGATGGGTTCCAAGGAGGGTGTGGGAAGAGGCTCAAAGGAAAGAGGAAGCAGGAGGCTGATATTAAACCTGGACCAACCACAGGCACGCACACCTTCAGCCAGGTGCGTCCTGGGAAGTAAAATATGTCTGTGGAACAGGACAGACCCAGGGGCCATCCTGGAAGAAGGCACTGGTCCTTCTACCTGAGGGCCTCTCTGCAGCTGCCTCTTCAACCCTGGCCTTTATTTACCTTTTGCATTAGCAGCAATGGCTAGCTTCATGGAGCCCACCGTGCTAGGCGCAAGGCCCGCTTCACCCCGACATTTCCTACTGCCCAGTGGCCACCTTTGGGAGGAATCCTTCCCGAGAGAGGGCTGAGGCAGTGAGGGCACATTTAATTCTGTATCAGACAATGATTTCTTCATTTCAGTCATGGATCCTGCCCCTCTCCAGGTCTCGTCTCTCTTCTTTTGGTTTGAAATGTTAGCCCGTAGCCCCGGTGTGTAAATAATGTACATAGAGTGTGGAGGAACTTGACATAGAGGTGTTTGAAATACGAACTGGAGGAACTTCTAGGCATTCTGATACCTGTGATATCTGTGTCACTTTCTGTAAAGATGCGAGTATAATAAACTTGAGGTACAAACAGCCAGGACGATCCAGGAGTCCTCCGAGGCTGGGGATGGTGACTGCACCGGGGCAGGAAGACCCCACAGTGGCTTTTAGGTCAAATCTAGGTTTCCTTTTTCAGGATTACTCCACATGTTGTACAACCCTTCGAAGACCATTGTCCCTGTGCTGTGTGACCCTTCTCCGCTGCAGACTCTGTCGCCCGAGCCGTGGAGTCCGGAGTTGTCCCCGACACTGCACCTCATGCTCCCCACACCCTGGGTCCCATCTGACTCCTCTGCAGTGCTGACCTGCAGTCATCCCTGTTTGCGCCTCCAGTGAGGCCTGCAGCCCTTGTGGCCCCAGGCGCCCAGCGCCCCCTTTGTGTCTCCTCCCCCATGCATTTGCACTTCTTATCTTCCTCCTAAACAGCCGCAAACAGAAAACATAAGTACACAGGAGAAGATCACCCTAACTCCAGCACACCACACCGGAGGGTGGAGGGCGAGGGCTGCGGGAGGCTGCCCCAGACAGCTGTGACTGGTGCATAGCCTGGAATTAAAGATGAGCACGCAGTGCAAAGGCCAGAGAGGTTCTGTTTGAGCTCTGGGCTCAAGAAGACCGTAAGGGGCCGGGGAGAGAGCTCAGTAGAACAAGCGCTTGGGTCCTGAGGAAAAAAAAAGAACACTCGTAAGATTGTTTCAAGAGGCCGGGGAGATGGCTCAGTAGGATAAGCGCTTGACTGGCGAACGCAAGAATCTGAGTTCAATCCCCGGTTCCACAAAAAAAAAGATTGTTTCAAATTGGCTCAGATGTGTATCTGTCATGGAAGAAGTTTCTAGAAGGAGAGAATGACAGGAGGGTGGTGGTCCCGACCCAAGGGCACACGTGGGAGAACAGCCAAGGGCTCCAAGTTGTGCCTACTGGGCTGCCCCGCCTGCTGGAGCCCTGAGCTCCCTGCAGGACTCATCTTGGGGCCCCACCCGCACTGCCCGTTCAGTCCCTGCGTCCCCAAGGCCTTCCTGCCCATCCAGCTTCCTCAGAGACAGGCCTCAGCTTTTATCCATAGGACCCATCAGGGCTGGGGATTTGGCTCAGCAGGAGAGCACTTGTCTAGCAAGCTGGGAGCCCCCTGGGTTCCATCCTCCGCACCAAAAACAAAACATAAACCTCCCCCAAAATAAACCTCCCATAGGACCCATCCAAGGGCCTGCTGCTCTGTCCACCCTCAAGCGAACCTTCTGTCCATAACTAATCCAATTACTCAATCATTTAGGGAGTCAGGGCTGTAGCTCAGTGGGGTGACCTGACCCTCGGTGGGACTTGGGCCCACGTGAGCCTTAATGGAAAAAGAGCACTGGCTCTCACAGCCACGGCAGGAGGAAGTCAGGCTCCGGGAGGCACCGCAAGGCACAGAGGGAAGGTGTGGTGCACGGAGGGCCCCACCCTCAGGGACATCGGGGACAAACTGGGACACTCAGAGGCTTGGAAGATGCCAGAAACCACCCTGAATATTACCCCAGCAGGGGCTTTACCCGGGCAGAGCCAGAGAAATGCAATAGGGCCTGCAGGTGGGCCCTGAGTGGGGGGTGGGCGAACTGGGAGTCAAGGGGGTCCTGACGCCAGGCTCAGCCATGCAGGAGAGGAGAGACCTGCTACCACTGTGCCGCCACGGGGCTGACTCTCCCTCGCCCGGGAGCCAGCCCTAGAGAGGTGGGCACCTGCCAGAGGGGAGACGGCACCGCGGGAGGAGGGAACAGGGCGTGGGGGCCCAGGCTGTGCTGCGGGCCCGGTCCACACTGCCCTACCCTGGGCCACTGGGGCCCTCCCGACCTGCCCAACCCCTTCCTGCTGCCTGGAGCTGTGGTGTCCCCTGAACACGTCCCTTCTGGGCTAGGCACAGCCACCTGGCTCATCAGTGTCACCAGGGAAGCCACACAGGGGACATACATGAACTCCCAACCTGTCAGATGCTCCAACCTATTCTCCAAATCAAAGGATGAAGCCTCAGGAGCAGAGAGTCCAGCGGGAAAATGAGGGCTCCCGAGAGACAGAAGGGGGCCTGAGAGTGGGGAGCCCACCAGCCAGCTTCTGTGAGGAAGTTTCATAAGGCAAGATCACAAGGTGGCTACAACATGGGTCAAAAGCATAATCAACCAATAAGATTATCAATAGAGCTGCTTGGCTAATAGTGACCCAATAATAGCCAGGGCAGGGGGGCCGGGGAGATGGCTCAGTAGAATAAGTGCTTGTCTGGCAAGCGCAAGGGCCTGAGTTCAATCCCGGGTTTCACCCAAAAAAAAAAAAGCAAAGGCAGATAGATGACGTTGACCTCGCAGGATAATGTACAGTCTCAGTTTTGTCTTCAAGTTTACTTTTTTTTTTTTTTTAAATATTTATTTATTTTGTGTGTGTGTGTGTCCAGCTCAGCCCACCAGGGGGCGGGGCTGGCTGGCATGTGGTGCTGGGGATTGAACCGCAGTCCCTGTGCTTAGTTTAGCTTGTTCTAAGTAGGTGCTTTAGACCACTGAGCCATCTCACCAGCCCTCAATTTTACTTTTAACAAACTTAGTCACTTTAGTAGTTTAGTCTCAGTGGGCAAGAGAGAAGGAAAGAAAGAAGGAAGGAAGGAAAAGAAGAGAGAGCCAAGCTACTGGTTGAAGGAAAGCAATCTGCAGCCTCCTTGGGTTAGAGCAGGTGCCGGGGCTGCCCCTCTCCATCCCTAACTCCCTCCTTGCAGTGAGATCACCTGGGCACCCCCTGGGAACTGGGCTGGCCAGGAGCTGGCGGCCTCCCCACGTCTGCCTCCTATTTCTTCCTCAGAGCTCCCTCCTGCTCCTTCCTTCTTCCTGGCTCTGTATCTCAGACAGAACCGAAGTTCCTGCTGAGTCACAGCTGCGCCCACCAAGGAGTGCTTTGCTCCATTAATTTTCACTACAGATCCATCCCTCCCAGCCAGGCATGCTGGCACACATTTATAATCCCAGCTCACACTTGGGAGGCTGAGGCAGGAGGATCACTATGAGGCCAGCCTGGGCTATGAATTGAGCTCCCAGGCCTGCACAGTAAAACCATGTCTCAAAAAAAAAAAAAAAAAAAAAAAAAAAAAAAAAAAAAAAAAAAAAAAAAAAAAAAGAAAGAAAGAAAAAGAAAAAGAAAAAAAAGAAAAAGACCAACAACAAAACATAACAAAAAACACCTCCCAAATAAAAAACTCAGGTCAGTTCCCTCCCAGGACTATTTTCACTGATTGCCCATTCCTCCTTCCCTCCCCTCCAAGCCAGGGATTCCCCCAAGGCATCTCCACACACACACACACACACACACACACACACACACACACACACATCCCTCCTGACACAGGAAGCTGGGAAAAGGCAAGGGGCCCGTGTAGAGCAGTGAGCTGCAGGATCCTCAGGCTGGGGTGTCCGGCACCGTGCTGGGGTCCACCTCCCACCTTTACGCAGCA